TGTGGGCCGTAGCCCCATTCTCAAAAGGGCCTTAGCCCTTGGGCTTCTCTTTTCAAAAAAGAGACGATAACAGGGGTCCTAACCCACTAACAAGGGGATGATCGGATCATCATGATCCCCTGGGGATCCCAACCCCCCTCTCATCATGAGAGTCTCATGCTGGTGACCCATCACCACTACATCCCAGGCCTACCGGGACAAGCATCTGGGAAGCGACAGCGGCGACGCTGGCCACCTAGAGCTGTCACCGCGTTGTGCCCACTGCTCAGTGAACATAGTTCACCTATCCATTTAGCATGTACCAGACGGGTATCACCAGTGACATCGATCGCCTATTGACTTAGCAGTACTGAGCCCTCTTACTTCGTTTTGTCTTGTCTCTGTCTCGCCCGCTGTTCGCTCCCCGTATTTCGTCCTCGTCTTGTCTTACCCCCCTCTCGCAGGTTGTTTTACTTGTCCCTCAGCATTTACTCATATTAAATGACCAACACCGCCGCCCCCTCGTCACCGTCTCAGCCTCCTCCCACCGATTCCGAGATGAGAGCCGCTGAAGAAGCTGTCATCGCCGCCGCGAAGACTCTGCAAGAGGTCAACGACGGTACTGGCCCTACCACCACTCAATCTGCCCCCGGGCGATCTGCTCGAGCTATGCGGGAACGGTCGCAACAACATCCACAGGCCGATCAACACTCCGTTGAGCAGTCACACCAACCTGAATCACCGTCCAACACCCCTATCGGTTCACGGAGCAACGAAGACGCCAACTGGGAGAATCAAGTGCTATCGGTTATTCACAACCTGACCAAGGAGAAATGTCCTGGCCGCCCATCACAACGCCATTACTACGAGCCCGGTACCGTAGCTGACTACATCAACAGCAACCCCTCGTTCGAAGGCATATCCTTCGATCAAAATCCCCCCGAGACTGTGATCGCCACAGCGGCAGACCTTCCTCCTGCCAAGCGCATGAGCTACTTGCTCTCACTACCACTGAAGGAATTATGCTCCGAAGAGGAGCCCGAACCTCTGAGGATCTCGGAAAACAATTACATATTCTCGGACTACATCCGGGCGGTGGTGAGATGGAGCATCTGCATCTCCCTCATCACAACATTCTCCGCTGACATTGAGTCCATACCTTTGGGGTACTTACTCGGACATCTGGAGTCGATCCTTGCCAGCACAGGAACTCTATCCCACACTGGCAAACCTGGCGGCACTGTCGCCGCCCAGCTCTATCATCGCTACTCGGTGAAGAAAGCAACCGAAGCTATTCGCCGAGGCGTTCCCATCAGATCTGTTCTTCAGGATCTCAGTGTGATGGACCAGAACGTCTCTCTCAGAGCTGCCAACGAGGCGGTGGCTGCCAGAGAAAGGAAGAACAAGTCCTGGCGCAACTGGTCCAACTACAACAACTTAACCAACAACAACTACAATGACAGCAGCAACAAGAGACCACGGGGAAGGCCTTGGGACAAAAGCAAGTCTGAAGGCTCGACGGGGAACAACACCAACGACAACGTCAACAAGAAGAAGGCCTAAGCGTGGGCAACCTCGGTGCTCCCTCCCCCCTCCTGAGTCAGCAGTGATGACATCTTTGAGAGTCTGCATCATCTCACTATCATCTCACCATCGCTTGGATGACGCGTGACTTATTTCATTTTTGCGGCGTATCACTATGATACTATCACGTACCGCTCCTCTCACCTCCTTATCAGTCATCAGTCGCACGAGGAAGTACGATCGTCTAGATCACCCTTTTCTTGGGATAGGATCCCAATTTGCCTCGTTATAATCACAAAAGAGATTGAGTTGCTCAGTGTTAATAAACTGGCGGAGCACGGCATCCTCGCCTCGTCACTGTTAGCAACGAGGCGAAGCAGTACCGAGAGCAAATTGC